TAGTTAATAATAGACGAGCAACATACGAATCAAGTGTATAATTTGTTTTTTTTTTCTTGATATACCTTGTTTTATCCATATATGATAAGGTTGAGGAGGTTTCTGAAATTTGTGTATAATTGCTTGAAGCCCTAGAATTAGATGAGATAATAGATATAGCTATATTATTTCATTCTCTTTCTTGTCATAATGCTCTAACAACATTACATGCTATATTTTTATTAAGGTCTTTATATGTCATTACTTCTTGGTCTTCCTCAATTCAAAACTCATGCTAGTATAGACAATGTTTCCAGTATTATTATACATAATTCCACCTATTAAAAAATCCCTATTTTTTATATACTTTACATAATTTGAGACCTTCTTTTTCTTCTTTCTCAAATATGTATTTATAATATTCGTAAGCTTTACATATAGCCTATTTAACTATTTGATATAGACCTAGTTTATTCTGAATATGAACATATTTTGTTAACCTATGAGAATAAGCTTGAGATATTTTTTTTTAAAAAAAAAAATTAGGATATTTAAGACTAATTCATATTTTTTAATATTCATTTCATATAGCTTTTATATTTGAATGATTTAACTAATATGAATGATTTGATATCAAACTAACATGACTAGTTTGATCTAATTTAAAGGCAAATTCATGCTAGATTAATAATGAGTTTTGAATACCTTGTATAAAGAGATGAGTTAATGTGATTTACAAGAATGTATTTAGCTTATTTACAAGCATAAAGAAAATTGGTATTTTATTTCTATTTTCACACAAATCCCATGAATTCTGCATACTACTATTTTCCTCTTAATAATATGTGAAATTTATAGAATTTATAAAATTTTATATCGTACTAATCAACTAATTCAAAAATAGAAGATTCATTTACATTTACATTAAATTAACACTAGTATTTATTCATTTTCGTGAATCTGTATTAATATTTATCTTTGAATTAAATTGTTCAAAATCTGTAGTGATAGAACTTTGTCAATTTAGGCAGTTCTACTTACTCAAGGAGAAAAGCAAAAACTTGCTTGAGCAAAATTTTTAATAATTAGCAGGTTAAAAATTAATACAAAATTGTTTTTTGATTACAAAAAATTACTGAAAGATATTTTTATTTGTTCTAATATTTCAAATTTTGCTTTCAGCATTATTTATACTATATGCTATATATAATCTGCAAAATTTAATGACAATGATAATTGTTAGTATAATAGCTAATACTAATCTATTAACATAGTAGGCTAAAATAGGAATGCGAATTGTTTAAGTAAATTCATAT